ATATATATATATATATATATATATATATATATATATATATATATATAACACTAACTTTCTTTTTATACCCCTCTCCCTTAAATATATTTTTGAGAGGAGGGATTTTGCAAAATATAAGTTGATGAAGTTAAAGTAAGAAAAAAATTAGTTTAATACATTTACTTTCAAGGAAACTAGTAGATTTAATTTAAAAATTAAGTGTCTGAATCTAGTATAAATCACACTAAATCTAACCTCTCACCAATCCTGTTGTTTAGAAGATTCCCAAGCAATCCTCTCCCACCACTCTCATCAACCCTAGTTGAACATGTCCAGACTTTTCCAACCTGAGTGTGACTGCCCACAACTGTATTAGCATGTAATTATCTGCTACCACAGACACATGATGCCTTAAGAATACATTCCTTCTTTCTTTCCAGTTCTTGACACAGCACTTCTAAACCACATCATCATCACATTTCATGTGGATTGTTTTGGAATCCTCCTGTCTTCTCTCTTTCTGTCCATCCAGGAGCCATACTAATTTCTTTTACATATGGGAAGCCAATCATGTCACCTCATTTTCTAAACCTACTCAGTTATTTCCCATTGTATTTGGAATGAAATCCAACCACCTCTCCAAGGCCGATAAGATGCACATTTGGTTCATGTTTTCTCCCATATCTTGAACATTTCTCCACTTGCTCCACCTTGACTTCCTTGCCTGACCTTTCCCAGAGTGCAGAGCATGCCATGCGAGGTTTAACATCAAGCCTTGTTTCTGACAATACACCACTGCTAGAGAAGACTCCCACAACACAGTTCCTTAAGAGGCGAGTATGGTTCTTCCATCCTCCCCGCCTGTCTTGATGACTCAGTCTAAGTAAGTAGCCTCCTTCAGTCCCATCTCAGTTCTTCCTTGTTTGCCTAATAACCTGCTATTATCTAGACACCCTCCCTTCTTGCTTGCAAATGCTCATCTCTTGAGACTCAGCCTTTAATCTGTCTGGTAGGAGATGGTCCATCTGCCTTATTCACAGCTATAATCTAGCACATAAAATGCTCTCAGCAGATAATAGACACTTGAAAAACACTTGTTGAGTATGTTGAATGACTGTTTTGTGTGAATAATGGTACAAGCCCAGTGTTTCCTACTGGGCTAGCTCATTTACTTCTCCAGAGATGCACGAGCTTTTATGTGAGTAAAACGATCTTTTGCCATTGTCAGACAGCTTTCCTAGAGAGCCTTTGACAAAGAGATGAATTTCACATGAACACCGACTAAAAGGATAAATACATATTCCTTTTCCCGTCTGTGTCGCTCCTCTGCTTCCTGCATCATTTCTTGAGCCTGTTCAAGTTTCGCATCCACCAGCTTCTGCTGCAGTTCTCTGTGTTTAAATATTTTGTCCAGATGCTAAGGAAAAAGAAGGCATAAAAGCCAGGCCTGTGATCAGTGACTAGAAATGTAAAATTGAAAAATAATTCACATAGATACAAATTTCCTAGTCTTCAAACTTCTAAGGAATAAACACCATGGTCTCTGAAGGCTTTATATTAAAGCCATAAATTGGTGAAAGCCCCCAACTTTGTACTATTCAGAGATAGATTCAAAAAGTAGAGGTTCCATAGGTCAGTAATATTATTGCCTAAAAGTACCAACATGATTTTTCTCAATTTGGAAGCCAGTTGATAATAATGCTATTCATTATGTTAGACCTCCCAGACACTGTACTCTGGCTTGGTATTATGCTCCTTTTAATGACTGTAGAACTTCTTTTAACCATAAAGTGAATATAACTTATCACAGTGAATCCTCAGCCCTGGAGTGCCAGCATGTCGATGTGTGGAACTGTGCCCAGACCCATGAACGCTTACTTGGTTGTTCTGATGCCACTGCTGTACTTTGGGGCTGAATGTTTCCCTCGAAGGCCCAGTTGTTAATTGATATCTGCTTGATGCTATTGGAATGTGGTAGAAACTTCAATGGGTGGAGTTTGCCAGGGGACCTTGTCGCCTTTGGCGGTTAGTACCCTCCCTTCCCAGTTGCCGTCAAGTGAGCATCTCAGCTCCACCACACCTTTCTCACCATGATGCCTTGCCAAAGGCCCGGAAGTGATGAGGTCACTTGCTTCTGGATGGAAACCTTCAGGTCTGTGAGCCAGAACAAACCTTTTCTCTCAATAAGCTGAGTGTCCTTCTAAGTATTTCTTATAGTAAAGGAAAGCTGACTCTAACATGTTAGAGTCACACTAACATGTGACTCAGCCTCATCCACGAACTAAGAAGCAGTTGTCTGTCCTCCACATCTTGACCTCTGGTCGACCTCTGTTTGAAGGACGTCTGGACTGTTAGGATCCCCATCAGAACGGGGATATATGAAATGTGGTATTGGGCTTTACACAGGACGAGTGCTGGGAATATGCAACTAGTATTCAAGGCCATTCCTGTCTGAGCTTTCTCTGAGGAGAGCAGACACTTTCCCTTTCGTTCTTCCTTTCTTTACTCTTTTATCCTGGATGGGATCGAACCTTGTGACAAGAGAAGATGGTAGCTAGGTGTTATGGCTTGTTGTGGGGAGTTTCCTGATTTACCTAACTCATGTGACCATGTGCTACTGACTCAAATATTCTCTTGATAAAAATCTTAGCGTGTTACCAACCCAGCTGCTTGCTGTCTCATTAGTGTAAAATGCTGAAAATGAACATCTTTGTGACTGTAAGTGATATTATCTGTAGGCTGTGGCTTTCATACATAAAACATGGAAAAGATAGTGCACTGGCTAATGATTTGATGAGATCCAGAATCACTAGGGAGAAAAGTCTCGGCATGGCTATGAGGGGCTGTCTACATTAGGTTAAACTCTGGGCTTGCTGGTGAGGGATTATCTGGCTAGACTAGGTTAACTGAGGTGGGGCTACCCACCTTACTTGTGGGTGATGCCATTTCATGGCCTGGGGCCCTGAACTAAATAAAGATAAGAAAGTGAGCCGAGCATGGGATTCCTTCATTCTGTTTCCTGTCTGTGGGCCCAGTTCACCAACGGGCTGCCTGCTCCTGTCACCACTGCTTCCCCTCCTGCTCCCGCTTTCCATGCCACAGTGGAATAATCCTCCAAAACTATAAGCCAGAATTGACCCTTCCTTCCTTATATTGCTTCTTGTACTGTCACAGAAACACATAAAATAACTTCTATAGATTGCTTTTTTGTTTGACAATAAGGTTGAGACAAATGACATATTCTGTGCAAAGTATATTACCTAATACACTGCTTGACATGAACTAAGCACTAAATAAGTGATATTATAATTGCTACATTATTAATGCTAGTATCATTATTAATGCTTGTTAATTGAGATGACATGGTAAACCTAATAAAGAGAACAGAGTTATCTCTTGTCTACATGGAAAGGATTTCTAAAGGACCAAAATATTGTGTAGACAAACCGTTCTCACAGCCTGCCACTTTCTGTTTACTGCTTTTATTTTGAAGTGAGTTCAGCCAAGTGTTTTGTAGGACTGTCTGTTTTTATTTTGGTTAGTAAAAGAAATCCAATCTTAGCTATCAATCGGTTGAAAGGTCTGGCCATGAATTTTTTCATACCCAAGCCCCTCACTTTCACAGCCCAGATCTGGGCCTGAGGACAGTTCTGCAAGCTCTTTGATGTGGCTCTCACCTCCTCTCTGAGCTCATACTGGTCAATGATGCTTTTCAGTTTTTCTGCAAGCTCTGTGTTTTCCTGGCAGAGCTTCATATTTCTCTCACTCTGTTGCTCTATCTGAGTCTGGATATCTGTCAGGGTAGTCTGAAAATGACTTGTGATCTCTTTTCTCTTCTCCTCTTCCTCACGTGCCCGTTGGAGGGTCTCCTCCTGTGGATGAACAGCAAGACATTCTGTGATGTTGTAGGCCTGCCCATGGTTTAGAGAACTCAGGATAAGGTCACTGAGAGGAGCAGTGTGCAGAGTATGTGAGGTGTTGCAGTTTTCTAGAGCTAAAGTTGCCAAATCCCAGCACTCATCCCTTATTGCAGTCACTAGGGGCAGGGGCTGTGTTCCCTGAGGAGGAGGTTCCTTTAAAGATGACAAGCCTCCTGCTGAGTGAATGACCTGATATCAGTTCCGGCAGTCACACAGTTATACAACTTTGATCTCTAAGTTGTGGCCTGGAAAAAAGGCCACTGGGATTCACTGAGGGATGGGACACAGGACAGAAGTTGTTTGTGTGTTTGGAGGAGGGGTCTTGGGTTTGGTATGTGGTGGAGAGCAATAGGTGTAATATTACTCTGTAAAACCATGGAGTATTAATCACATAATTGTAATACCCAGATTTCATAAGTGATCATAATATAAGCCTTCTTTCTTTCTTTAAAGTTTTATTTTTATTTATGTTTATGTTTTATGTATGTCACATTTTTAGGCACCCAGAGAAGACAGAGGCCAGATTCAGATCCTCTGGAACTGAAGTTACAGTTGATTGTAAGTACCTCATGTGGATGCTGGGAACTGAACTTGGGCAGTCTGCAAGAGCAGCAAGTGGTCTTAGTAAGAAAAATATCTTATCAGGAAGCTTTAAGACAAGCAATTAAGACATATAAAAGGAAGTGTTTTCAACTACACTGGTTATTTTATTTCTGGGCAGAGCAATCATTTTATGTGTCACCTGTGATAACTAAAATATTTGCGATGTAAATTTTGAATTAGAAGTTAAGTTTGAAATCTCTTTAACTATAAAATGAAACAATGAAACATTCATCACCACCCCCTTATCATTTCTTACCATCGAGGAATTGAAAGTTTGCTTTTATATTACTTTTGTTCTCTTTCTCTTTTACATCAAAACTCTACATTCATCACCAACCACTAATAATGCACCCAGATTCCTCTATCTATACCAAGAATTATCTGTGTGGTAATTGTTCCTTTCATTCTTTTAGAATAAAGAGCTTGCTCTCCCTATATTATCCCAAAGATAGATACGTTTACGCTGCTGACAGATGATACACACATTTTCGGATTCCTTTCAGTCCTAGTTAATTATTAATAGGAACGCTTGCTTCAGTGTTGGCAAGTAAAATTACACTGCATTTAGTTGCTACCAACTTCAAATTATGTAACAGGATTTCAAAGGAGAGAATTATTTTAGCAGAAGTAATTGCACAAGTCTTTATTAGGATAGAACAACGTCATCAAAACAAAAACTGATCTGGAAAATATATGATCTGGAAGTATTTTAATTTATTACTCATTTTTATCTTTCTTATACAATATTAACACATTATCTAACTTATTGGCCATCAAAATTATAATTTAATCATTCTGTAGCTTCTCAGAGACATTATAGGAAACATTAAAGACTATTTGAGATTATAGTTATCTTTGTATACCAATACTTACTACATGTATCACTAAAAAGGATTCCAGCTATCAGATAAAGAATAACTAGACATCCGTGTGATAGTGAGTATCACCTCATTGCTGCTGATATACTTACAAGTTCCCAAATTATGAGTTATATTTTTATAGACAATGATCTTAATTTCATTTTAATTTCTAAAGATTCTATGTGTGAGTAAAAAACTATGCCATGCTTCTGAGAAAGTCTGAGCTTTTCTAGATTTTAGCAACTTATTAAACATATTTTGAGCCACTCAATTCTGGCTTATTAAATGGCAGCTTGAGTTCTGTATTATATTACCCCTGTTTTAGTAGGAGAAAGAATACAGGTCTTGTGAGGTACCCCAGACCACTTGTCATCCTCCTCCCTCATCCTGCCAAATACTAACATTAGTATGTTGCTTTTCAACTCGACAAAAATAAGTCTTGCCCAATGTTATTACATTAAGTTCATCGATAAAGAATTTTCTATGTCTTGGACAATGTCTGAGGCAACTTTTTAAATTAATCAAGTATATTATGCAAAGTGGAAATTACTAATGCAAAGAAGACTGAGAAACAAACGCTGAAAACAACTTTGCAAGCATCATTATATACCTTAGAACCGATGCCCTGCCTGGCACATAATCCATAGGTATTCAGGAAATGTTTATTTAATGATTAATACATTATTAACTTGTGTACAGACACATGAGAAGCTTCGGCTGGATGATTTCTATAGTCCTTTCCACATTAAAATTCTGTGATATTTTGATAACAAGTTCTACTTATTTCCTTACCAAAACCATGTTCCTTAAGTCAGCTGCCCACATTGTACTGGAGAGTTGTTTGTCAATATAGTTTCAGGCTCAAATTTCCTCCTTTAAGTATCTGTAGAAGTTGCTGAGACAAGTGCATGCCTCAAGTCTTCACTGGCCTTTATCTAAATTATCCCAAATTGTCAGGGTTTGTGTTTGTGTTTAACTCACTGAAGAAAAAACTTTATAAGGAATGTGAAAGTTAAAATGCATGGTGTTGGAGAGATCTGATTATGTATTTTCTGTATCGTGCTCAAGTTATCCTTACTAGCATGGACAAAGAAGGTCATGCCAAGTTTAGTTTTCTACAGCTAACATCTGTAAACTCTGAAGGCCAGTTGGCACTTGATGTAATGTAATGCAAGTTTCTCACCCTTTCCCCTTTTAAACATATTTCAGTTTGTAGGAAGACTTTGAAATAAAATGAGATGTGTTAAATTTCTCTAGGAAATCTCCCATTTTTCAGATAAAAAGAAGAGTGAAAATTTGGGAAACTGTAACCACTGAAAGATGAGAGGAAGTTTCAAGAAAAGAGTCAGAGAGAATTTAGAGCTCTACACTGCCATAATATCTATGATATAATTGGCAATGAAAACCCAACAAAAACGACACATTATAAAAACAAACAAACAAAAGACAGTTAATAAATAAACAACTTATTCTACAATGACCCAAATGTGACAAAAGCAGGAAAGAATTACAAAACAGGTATTATCATTCTATTCAATGATGTAAAGGAAAATATTATCTTAATGAATTAAAACCAGGAAGTCTCAGAAAAGAAAAACAACTTGTTAAACAAGCCGAATCCTGGAATTTAAAACTGTGTAACTATAAATTAAAAAAAAAAAATCACTTGAATTTTTTAAGAGCATAGCAGAGATAGGACTATGAAATGACTTGATCAGAAAATTGAGGAAGACTGAGCTATGGGACATTGCCACAGGTTAATATGCATGCAACTAGAATTTCAGGAGAGGGAAAGAAGAACATGAATTAATGCATATATTTGAAAAAATAACACTTGAAAAATTCTGTTTGGTGAATACCTAGAGATACATAAGCTTAGCAAATACCAAGTGGAATATATAGAAAGAAAATGTTTAGGAATTGGAAAGATGGCTTAGTGGTTAAGAGCACAGGCTGTTCTCTCATAGATAGTTTCTGAGTTTGGTTCCCAGTACCTACATGGCAGTTCACAACCATCTATAATTGCAGCTCCAGGGATCCATGACCCTTTTCTGGCCTCCATGGGTACTGCACACATGTGGGGCACTTAAATACATGCAGGAAAAACACTCATACACACAATACTTTTTAAAAGTTAAAAATAAAGGAAATCACTAGTAATTAAAAAGGTTCTAAAAGTAAAAAATAAAAAAATCACTAGAAATATTTTGAAAATCGCCATCAAAGAATCAAATGTCAGATGAGGAGGAGTAATAGTTCAAGTTATTGCCACTATTGTCATCAGAATTATGGAGGTCAAAATAAAATGGAAGATTCATGAAGTTCCATCAGTGAACAACTTCAACATCCAATAATTACAGTTCTCAATAGGATGAGCAAGTGAAGCATCACATAAAAAAACACTTTAACGATAGAGGACAACTAAGAGGACTGACTGCCAGCACAGCTAGAGTTCAGCAGATCCTCATGGGGAGATCTCTAGGCTAACAGAAAGTGGTGCCAGACAGGTCACTGAAGCCATAGACCAAATTAAAGAAGTACGGGGAAGCTGGGCATGGAGGCACACACATGTAATCCCAGGGAGGCAGAAGCACATGGATCCTTGTGAGTTCAAGGCCAGCTTAGCCTACAAAGTGACAGGACAGCCAAAGCTACACAGAGAAACCTTGTCTCAGGAAGGAAAAAAAAAAAGCATCAGGAAATTCAGGTATCTGTGAAATGAGAAAAATGCAGTTTTTCTTTTCATTTTTCAAGGAATGCAGATGATAGTAAAAACAAAAAGAAAACATTGTCATCTCATGGGCTTTATAAATGTATATAACTTTATACATGGAAAATTCTAGCTTAAAGATAGAAATAAAGATAGGAGAACTTACTTAGCTTCAGTGTTTCTACATATGCAGTGTGGATAATATTAACTCTACATATACTAGGAACAGTTAAAAATGATGACTGTAACCATAGATTAACCACTGTAAATAATACAAAGAGGCATCACTTAAAAATCCAAGAGATAAATTTAAAATGTGATTTAAAGACTCTTCAACTTGAGAGGCAGGAAAAAGAATAGAGGAACAGAAGAGAGAGAGGTGAAAAGTATGTTGTTAACCAGCAAACATGGTGTCTACTGTTTAATACTGTCCTACCAGTCATTACTTTACGTGTTGATGGACTGGCTCCCTAGTTAAAGGCAGATACTATGCATATAAAAAGAATCAATGTGTAGCTTTATCCTGTCCTTGTGGGTTGTATTCTGTAGACCGAGGTAGAAAATGAACAGAGGAAAAGAGATATACTGAGCAGACACACAAACAAAAGGTAAGAAAACTTAAGGGGCTGTGTTGGCGTCAGATAATGCAAATATCAAGATAAGCATTGCCAGGAGATGTACACGATGATGAAAATCATCAGTTATTCCAAAAGACAGAAGGTGAATATGAATAAAACTAACATCCGTGCTTTCAAGAGCAAAAATTGATGTTTTTGAGATAAAGCAGATTGTTCTACAGGTAATACTGGGATTGTACGAAGGTCAATCCCAAAGCTGTTGCTTACGGAATGTTGTGTGATCATCTGAGCAGCATGCCCTCCACGCACACACTGGGTGTGCATCAAGAAAGAATACACATGATGGGCTAGACAAAGTAAACATGCTCTAGCCCATGGGTGAATAGTCAAAGATAAATTAGTATTTTGGATTTGAATTCTTATCTTGACGTGTCAAATAATTGTGGCTTTAAAATGCCTGATTAATATTGATGAGTTTCCTCTTTGGTAGATGTACGATCTTGAAGGTCATTTGTGCAGAGCACATGACCTAGCATGCAAAGTCCTAAAGGGTCAAGCCACACTCTCCTCTGTTTGGGTCTTTTCAGTGACACATTTCCCACCTGTCTGATTTAATTTTCATTTATTAACCGTTTGATGCTGTAGAAAGACAAGAATCTTTTGTAAACATAGAACATTGCCCCTTGAGTTGAAGGTGGTACACCCTTCTCCAGGTCTCCTTCTAACCTGGACAACTGATGGTTCCTAGAACAGTCACTGAGAAAAAGCCCCAGATTCTGAGCCTCTTCAGTTTGCAATGTGACGGTCACAGTTCAGCATACTGGCTTCCCATTTTCCAAGCAGGACAGGATAACTTAGTTAATGATGTTAGCGTCTGTTTTTTTTTTTTTTAAGTATCTTCTTGCAAACACATATAGTAATAACTTCCTTATAGGAGTATTGTCTGATTCGTTGCTGTGTCTGAAGCTTCAGGTTCTACCACTGGAAAAGCGACCGTGGATTCAGACTGACTTAAAAGAACCCTACATCTTACTTTTGAATGGAGTTGGTAATCAAAGTAGATACTCTGCAAGGGACCCAAGCTGGGATTATTGGAACCCATAGACATAATGAAGTGATCAGTCTATTATCTTCAGACTGAATAATTAAGTCTTAAAGAGATCTTCAATGTTTTTAAAGTTGCTTCTTTTCTCAGAAAACTATGATATTTTGACTCTCTACCTCACTTTATCATATTAATTAGCTTAACTTGTATGCCATGTCACATAAAATTCATTTTAAATATAAGATCCTAAATTTTAACAAAAAGTTTAAGAGAAAACTAAGGTATGGGGTGATGGCTCAAGGGTTACGAGCATTGGCTGCTCTTCCAGATGACGTGCATTCAATTCCCAGCATCCACATAGCAGGCCATCTGTATGCTACTTCCTGTGCCTTCTTTTGGCTTCCTTGGGTACCAAGAATTAATGAAATGCACAGATGTGTATGCTGGCAAAACACTCAAACACATAAAGTAAAAGAAAAATAATTACATGGTAAACTAAGGACTATGAAAAACAACCAATCCACCAAACCAAACCGAAAATGAAACCAAAAAATAAAACTCAACTTAGCAAGAAAGGAAGGGACATACTTTTATTTTTACTCTGGGCCTTCACTGTTGTCACTGTGTATGACCTTTCACGTGGAATCTTGTTTAGTTTTCTCCCTTCTGACCACATAGTCAGATGATGGGGGAATCATTCAAGGAGAAAAAGATAACTTGCAGATCACAAATGAACACATGACAGAACCAGTATTTGACTTCACTGCTCTCTGGTTGTAACTGGTGCTTTCTCTAGATAGTGGAGGCACATGTCTATGAAGCCTGCTAAGATTCTAAGCAAGGGTGCCACATACCTTCAGTGTCTTGTTATGCCTCTGCAGCTCACGACACAGACTCTCAAGTTTGCTTCGGGCAAGGATGGCTCTGTTATGCTCACTCTGCAATTGGTCCTTCTCTCTCTGGGTTTGTGCCTGCTGCTTCAGTAGGAGCTTTAGTTTCTTTTGCTCAGTGCGATGTTCATCCAGCTAGACACAGGGGGTGCAAGCAGCAAAGAAATTGACAGAAATATCTTTGCAGTTCACAGAAAAGAAGCAAAGCCTAAAGACTCTCTGCATGGTTGTTTGGAGCTATTTTTCATCATTAGCTGCCTCTCTGGCAGCTCATGAACTTCATAAATGCCACCCCATAATGCATAGTTTGGTTTTTACATAACTATTGTGTCTATAGTCTCCTCTTTCTTTGATTTTTTTTTGGATGTCTAGAAACATTTTTCTTGTTTTTGTTTGATGATATCATCTAGTGCTATCCAAAAAAAAGAGAGATGCGCTTGAGAATCTGGAAACTGCTGGAATCCATGGCAATATCTTGTATTCAGACCATGGCCAACAATTTGTTTGCTTGGCTTACATCACTCTCATAATTCTTTCTGAAAATAAGTGACATTTTTAAAAATAGGAAAGAGAAAAAACAGCTTCCTGGTAAAAAAAAATAAAATGAAGTTATCTTCTTTATAATTTGAGTTTAAATGTGGATTCTTTGGGTATAGGAAAGTAAGAGAAAGTATCCCTCCAAACACCTAAGCCTTAATGATTTTTTCCTAAATTATTAAAAACAGCCACAGTACAATAGATTGACATGACAGGCAAATATTTTTAACGTTCCCTGCTGCTCATCAATTCTATCCCTAACCTTGCTGTGCCCACAGCAAAGACATCATGGTCCTTATTTCTGGCAATCTAGATGCGTGAAACTACTTTACTCCCATACTCTACACGTTGGGATGTTAAAATGTGAGTGTAAGATTGCCAGATATCATACAGAACACCTAGATAAACATAAATTTCAGATTTTAAAGAATAATTTTAGTATGTGTATAGTGCAAATATTTGAATGTGCCATATTTTTTTTTTACCAAAACTTTTTCATTATTTAAATTGTAAAGTTGATCTGATCTCTTGTGTTTTTATTTGCTAAATCTGGTAACGTTATCATGAGCTCTTAGTTCTAATGGAGGAATCACGAGAAACAGCCTCCAGAAGCCACCAGAGAGACCAGTAAATTCTAGCAGTGCCAATGTCAGTCTGAACACTTGAGTGGGCACATGCACACGGCAGAGTCGGGGTCTATTGTTCACCCCACTGGACTTGGTCTCTTTAGTGCCTGGGTGTTGTTAAGCAAGGAAGGGACTGGTTCTATTAATAGCCATCTTGACTAAGAGCAAAGAAATTCTCTGGGGAGCCACTGGGTGCCTCTAGAGGCCAAGTGTTCGGGTGCCTCACAGAGCCTGATGGAAATGGATGTACATTCCTCATGAATCTTGACCACATCTTAGTTTCCCTGTTTTAAAAGCCCATTGGGTTTTTTTTTCTGAACTATTTAAAGACTGTCATACTTTCTTCAATTAATATCTTGCTTTATTATTTTTCTTCTACCATGTTGAATAACCATTATAAGTCCTTTTCAGATTAAGCCAAGAATATGCACATTTGATATTCTAAGTTTATACCCATGTGCACTTTCTACTTTTTAGCAGTTAAGATTGGAAAAAGAGAGCCATATTACTAGAAATATGGGTTGGCATTAACAACTTTCTTGAAAGGCCGGTCATCCTCCATCATGTATTTCTCATGCTAAACTCGTGCTCAGAAGATAGATGTGCTCCTTTCATTTTGTACCATCGTGATTAGACAAGGTAAAATTTCTCATGATTATAGCAGGATTTTTCTTCCTGGAAATTGATATATTGTTGTTGCCTTTATAGATTCAGTTTTACTTTTGAGAATTAAGCCATATGTCAAAACTTTTCAGCTTCATTACAGTTGATATAATGGGACATATTTTTGAATTGTGCAAAAGCCTCTGTATAATGGGCTATTTGACACCACCCCGGACCCCTCTATTTCTTGTATAGTGTAACATCATCTAATTGTGACATGCAGAAATAGATCCAGGCAAGGACAACTATTGCTCCTTGGTGAACCAGACCACCTCTGTGCAGCTGTCTTTGTGTGTCAGAAAGAAAATATACTTTATGAGCTTTATATGTTGGAAGACAGATAATTTATGCGTTTCCATATTTAATGTTTGGCTGTGTTATAAGATCATGCACATTTATATTTTAGCCAGATCTAACTTCCTTAGCTTTACAATACAAGACTCTGAACTTTCAAAGTTTTTACTGTCTGGATGATTTTTCTTGAACAGTTCAGACTTTTGTGCTTTTGTATGAATGCATGAGTTTCTTTAATGAATGAAAGTGAACAAACACATTGCAACCGAGTCAGCCTCAGCCTAGTGTTGGCCTTTGAGGTTTAACAATTCACATAGGCATAGTTCTGGAAATTTGTAATAAGTATGTAGAATTTTATTTGAAATTTCTTATTATTTCTTCTTCATTAAGTTAAAAAACCAAAAGCACAATTTGTGTCAATGGCTAAATGAGAATTGTATTTGTGATTCTTTTTAAGTATTTAGACATTGAGGAAATTTCTGGAAAATGTTTTTCTAAGGCCATTTCTCAATGTAGTCATGAAGTATCCTTACTTATTAATGAGCATAGCCTTATTTATTGATGAACACAAAGGCAGATAATATTACATGCTTCAGGCTCGGTAAGCATGACTGGAACTATAGTGGCAGTTTGACTTATAGTATTGGAGTTGACAAAATACTCCATATTATCCGTTATATTTCAAACATTTCCATACGGATATTCTAATCACTGAGCAAGGAAATAGATTTTTATCTTCATGTAACTTATTATTTTTTTTAATAATTTTTTTTCCCTGATAAAGAAATGTAATTGGTCTTTCATGTCACTTTTTGAGAATGATCTTTTAGGTCTTAGAGTTTGTTATAGGGGAGAAGACAAATGGTAAGTGTAGGAAGGCTTGTACTGGCTCATCTCTGTTGGGGTGGAATGGTAAGAAGGCACAGGGAACTTCCTGGCACCAGAATAAGTAGCCCTGGCTCTTGGAGAAATCTTCCTCAGACTGGAGAAGAAATTTTTCCTTAGTGTACTACTGTAGCAATCGTGTCGGGTGCCAGTCAAGAATACTTCCTAGTCCTGCCAAGTGTAGCATATGTTTCTAGAAAATGAACAAGAATGGCCTTGGTAAGTAGTAGCTAAACTGAAGGAACAATGGACAGACAGTACAGAAAATGCTGAGGAAAGAACAAAGGTGAGTGAGTGAGAGTGATGTGACATACATGAGAGAAAGAGGCTCAGATTTGAGAAAAATATCTTTGACTTACAACTTAACGTTATGCTAATTTAAATTGCTAATAGTCAATGTTAAATTGCTTTGTAAATTTCTACCCTTATTTTGGCAAGCAATATGGCCATAAAACTCAAAAACAAAGAAGCATTCATTTTGTTTGATCCAGTAATCCTATTTATAGAATTTTTTCTTAAAATCATAATGGAGAAGGACCAAATCTAAGAAATGATGGTTTTGACAACAGCATTATTTTCTGCAATGGAAGGACACGGTCTCCAGAATTAGTAAATCAGCAAAAATAGAGCCACTTAACGGAATATGGCACAACTTTAATAAAATATGCGTACGTAGACTGAAGTACATAAGAAAATGCCACATGAGCCAAGAGAAGAAAATATCAACTCATATGCCGTATGGTAGCAGCTTCTCTGCTTCTGGCTTCAGAGAGCTGGAAAGGAACATGCATAAAACAGAGTTTGTGTTTTAGATGATGGATTAGAAATACCATTTTGAAAAAAAAAAAAAGAAATACCATTTTGTGTATTTGGAACTCTTATGTCATCATGATGTGGTTTGTGTGATTAAAAATTACTGAAAGTTAAGCCATCAGCCTGGCACTCAGGGTTTCAGAATTGTATTGTGTTCATGGCCTCACAGTTCAGCATAACAAAGTGTGTCAAGGCAGAAGGAAGAAAAGAACACATAGGGATTACAGGACTATAGTCGGTGAAAAACAAGCCTTCAGCAGGAATTGAGGTGTTTTTGTTTGTTTGTTTGTTTGTTTTGTTTTGTTTTTTGGCATTGAGTTTTGTAGGGCTGATGCCTACTCAGTTTTGAAGCTCTGCTAAATATATAATTAAGAAAATGAAGTTAGACTTTATAGCCAGTCCTGAACATACCTGATAAACCAGGGTCAGATGAAAGGGGAGGAGGTCCTCCCCTATCAGTGGACTTGGAAAGGGGCAGAGAGCAGATGAAGGAGGGAGAGTGGGATTGGGAGGGAATGAGGGAGCAGGATACAGCTGGGATACAGAGTTAATAAAATGTAACTAATATTAAAAAAGAAAGAAAGAAAGAAAATGAAGTTAGGCCCAGGGCCTCCTGGTGGATTCTGTGTAGGACTGGGGGAGGGGAGAGCTGCTAGTGGGAGGCTCCCAACTGGAGTATCCTCAGTTGTAAATGCATCTACCTCTGGAGGGGAGGTGGCTCAACTCCTGCCTGGAGGAAGTTCTGTGCTCCTCACGTTTCATTTGCCTGTTGCTGCTTCTCCTGGAGAAATAAGTTAGTGGCTTTCTTAAAGTAAAGAGCGCTCACACACACACACACAGTAAAGCACAGCTCACTATATCTCATTTCTGGGGGTGAAAGAGGGGAGTGCTATATAGACTTCAGATATTTCCCACTTATCGCAGCAGGTTTTCTTGAGGCTTGATACCAAGGTACTGGCCTCTCACCAAGCCCTTCCCTTTTTTCCTCTGGCCAGTTTGAAAGCACAGAAGAGAAGACAGTGGCCTCCTGGAATTTAGATGGTTTGCAGTGGCTTCCCTTGCTCCCAGGATCTGAGTATGGGGGTGAGGCTGTCTGTGGAGGAGTGGAGCCAGGGACCAAATAAGCCATAATGACTTTATCACTGTAGAGAAGGGAAAGAACAGGGTTCGAAGAAGAGATCTGAAGACATGAGGCAGGCATGACAAGAATGTGCCATCACCTGTGGGGTGGCAATAAGTCCACGCTGCACTTTTCTTTTAGCCCTTGAGAAATGTGAGTTAGACGCTGAATGAAAATCTAATATTCGTTCAACTTTATAGAGAGGATAGTTTTGTTTTTAAAGTTAACAGGGACTTTATAAAGTTTCCACAAATTTCAGTTATCTGTACTCTCTCTTGCCCCCAAAATTTATACACATAACTGAACACAGAACCCGTTACCTTATTTGCCCTGTCTCTTGTTGCACATCAGCTTTCCTGTTTCCTTGAAAATGATTTAAGGCAGCTCAGTGTCCAAGTGGGTCCCTAGTAATGGGAACAGGGACTGCCTCTGACATGAACTGATTGGCCTGCTCTCTGATCACCTTTCCCTAAGGGGGAGCAAGCAGCCTTACCAAGCCACAGAAGAACACAATGCAGCCACTCCTGATGAGACCTGATAGACCAGGATCAGAAGGAAGGGGAGGAAGACCTCCCCTATCAGTGGACTTGGGGAGGGACAGGAGCGGAGAAAGAGGAGGGAGGGTGGGATTGGCAAGGGAGGAAGGAGGGGGCCCGGGGAGATACAAAGTGAATAAAGTGTAATTAATAAAAATTAAAATAAAAATGGAAAAAAATACTTTTCTTCCAGCATTCTCTGAATCTAGCATTGGCTTGTTTGTGGTGACTAGCTATGTTCTATAATGATATTCGCAAGAATCCACATTCTCCTCTTCTCAGCACTGACTAGAGCTGTGCACTTTCTGACAGAAAGAGCTGATCAAAGAGCTTACCAATTCAGCATACTTCTTGAGTAAAAAATCAAGCTTTTCTTCCGGTGTTTGCAGCTTGTTCAGATTTTGCATTAGCAAGTTAGCTTCTTTCCCTTAAAAAAAAAAATCATTTAAAAATGAGTGTTGAGTATGTAGTCAGGTGGTAGGGGCTGGTGTTTCAGATTGATCGCTTGCAAATTAGAATCAAACCCTTGCAAATTAGAACCAACTTCAGCCAAGCCACTAACGTCCCTGAGCCTCAGATACAATTTTCTCTTTCTATGGCCTCTGCCTTTTAGAGTGAGGATTCGCTAATGTGGTGAAGGGTCAAATTCACAGTAAAATGTCAATAAGTGCTTGCTAAAACAAAAGTCCCCAAATTTTCTTCTCTATTCTCATTATTTCCCTTTGTGTATCCTTAATATTTGAAAGGTAAGTATGTCACAACACTGACTTTACGAAATGATAAATTCTCTTATTTCCTATGTTAACTTATAAAAAAAAAAAAAAAAAGGAAGGAAAGAAGGAAGACAGAAAGGGAACAGCTAACCAGAACTACTGGTGGGCAAGAAACAGCCATTCAGTACATGATTCTGACTGAACTCCAGCCCAAGGCAGAGCCTTGACAGCCTAGCAGCCTATTTTCCCATAGTTTTGGCACCTCCTTTTGAACCAATCTTCTCCTCTTTGTTAAGCCTATTCTTCAGGTTTGGATGGGAATAACTCTAATCTTATTGCCTACCAGAAAATTAAAGGGAAAAGATTCAAACCTGGGAGATGTTTCAAAGGTGTGTGTATGTGTGTGTGTGTGTGTGTGTGTGTGTGTGTGTGTGTGTGTTTGCATGCGTGCGTGAGTGCGTGCGTGTGTGTATGTTTCATGAACTTGGAATCAGCCTTTTCGGGTAGTTGTTTTTTCTACCCAAGCCTTAATCTCTGCTGGCAGCAGAGATTTTTTTTTTCTTTCCCATCTGGATATCAAGCTATATTTTAAAACTCATATCTTCCTTCATCAGAACAAAATGATGATCCACAGACTGGAAAAGGATCTTCACCAATCCTATATCTGACAGAGGGCTAATATCTAGAATCTATAAAGAACTCAAGAAGTTAAACACCAACAAATCAGTAATCCAATTTAAAAAATGGTGTGTAGAGCTAAACAGGGAATTCTCGATAGAGGAATATTGAAAGGCAGAGAAACACTTAAAGAAATGCTCAACGTCCTTAATCATCTGGGAAATGACAATCAAAAGGACACTGAGATTTTACCTTACACCCATCAGAATGGCTAAGATGAATAACTCAAATGACAACACATGCTGGAGAGAATGTGGAGAAAGGGGAACCCTTCTACATTGCTGGTGGGATTGTAAACTTCTACAACTACTTTGGAAATCAATGGTGCTTTCTCAGACAATTAGGAATAGTGCTACATCAAGATCCAGCTATACCACTCCTAGACATATATCTAAAAAAAATGCCCAAGTATATAACAAGCACATTTGCTCAACCATGCTCATAGCAATTTTGTTCTTAATAACCAGAATCTGGAAACAACCCAGAAGTCCCTCAACTGAGGAATGGAGACAGAAATTGTGGTACATTTACACAATGGAATACTACTCAGCAATTAAAAACAAAGAAATCATGAAAGTTGCAGGCAAATGAATGGAACTGGAAAAGATCAACCTGAGTGAAATATCCCAGAAGCAGAAAGACACACATGGTATATACTCACTTAAATGTGGATATTAGACATATAATATAGGATAAACATACTAAAATCTGTACACCTAAAGAAGCTAAGCAAGAAGGAGGACCCTGGGTAAGATGCTCAATCCTCATGCAGAAAGGCAAATGGGATAGATACCGGAAGAGAGAGAAAACAGGGAACAAGACAGGAACCTACCACAGAGTGCTCTGAAAGATTCTTCCCAGCAGTATATCAAAACAGATGCTGAGACTCATAGCCAAACTTTGAGCAGAGTGCAGAGAATCTTATGAAAGAAAGGGGAGATAAAAAGACCTGGAGGGGACTGGAGCTCCACAAGGAGAGCAACAGAACCAAAAAACCTGGGCCCAGGAGTCTTTTCTAAAACTGATACTCCAAACAAGGACCATTCATGGAGATAACCTAGAACCCTTTCACAGATGTAGCCCATGGCAGCTCAGTCTCCAAGTGGGTTCCCTAGTGATGGGAACAGGGACTGTCTCTGACATGAACTCAGTGTCTGGCTCTATGATCACTTCCTCCTGAGGGCAGTGGCAACCTTATCAGGCCACAGAGGAAGACAATACAGCCAGTCCTGATGAGACCAGGTCACATGAGGCTAGGGTTAGATGGAAAGGGAGGAGGACCTCCCCTATCAGTGGACTGGGGAAGGGCATGGGAGGAGAAGAGGGAGGAAGGGAGGAATTGGGAGGGCATGAGGGAGGGGGCTACAGCTGGGATACAAAGTGAATAAATTGTAATAAATAAATAAAAGGGGAAAAGGGAAAGATAGAGATAACTTGAACACAGAGAAATTACAAAATAATAAACCAAGACTATCTATCTATCTATATTAATATTTTTGAGAATTTATCAGACAACCTTGGTGTTATTTATCTCTCGTTCCTATATCAATATTTATTGTTTCTCTATTAAGATTGCAATCAGGTTCATTTCTTTTCATGTTGTCTTGTTTTATTATTTTTTCAATTTAATTGTTTTGTCAAGTTAACCTTCCCTTTTAGCTCTTATGGAGTATATTCTAAATAATTAAACTATTCTTGTCAATAAATAAACAAGTTCCATTTATAGAAAAACAACCCTTATAGGTTCCTGAGTATTTAACAGAGAGATTTAGGTTCTCCCCTGACTTCTTCTGTCTGTGTCTTTACCTTTGCCTCTCTGTGGTGCTGCTCCACCATCTGGTCAGTGTCTGGGGGAATGTCTGGGATGCTTAGGCCCGTATTTACTGATGACATCCTTGCAAGCCATCCTGCCGAGGTGGAGGATTTTTCCCATTCTCACCTATCTGTGGCCACCACTCTGTCTACTCACAGTAAGGTCAAACCACTGAGAAGAGCCCATGTTTTCTGACATGTATAAACTTGCTGGAGAATGTGAGAAACTTTGCAACATTTTTACTAAGAACCAATATTTCCCCTGGGCTAGAATACTTGCTTTCATCCTGGAGAGGCAGTTCTGTCAGGAATTAGGGTCACTTTTGAAGGACAGCATGGAGCATACTTGTATACAGTTATATTCATTGTTTGCTTGAGATTCAAAGTGGACATCTGTTATTCTTATTTATTTAATATAGCAAGCTTACATGGGATTACAAAATTTTAGATATAGCAGGATCATCAAAGACATCCAGGTTAGCCAATTTAATTTTCCAGATGAAATACCCAAAGCCCAGAAAAAAAAAAAACAAAAAACAAAAAAAAACAAACAAACAAACAAAAAAAAACCAGCATTGCATAATTACTGCTGGCATTGCAAAGACTTTAATCCAAGGTGACTTGCTCTAAGCTCTCCTGTGGAATTTTGGTAACAGAACGATCTAGCGAAACAAAGGGGGATGTCTTTAGATGAAAATGACCTCATTCCTGATGTCTGGTCTGTCTTGGCTCAGTGAGTCAGTTCAGATCTGAGACTGGCCCAAGATGGAGAGAAGGTAGCCGTGAGTGAGCCCCACCCAGTCCTTAGCTCTCCTCCAAAGCCCTTGCTCTTTGTACTGCCCTTTGTGGCTGATACATTACATCTATGTAAGCAACAGAGCATCTAGGAGAAGCAAGCATGACTGTGCTAATTGCTCAAGAAAAAGCTTGGTTCACATTTCTACAGCTATTTCAATTGTATACAATTTAAAGTCCCTCCAATTCCTCTTTTCCTTGAGTTCCTTTGATCTCTAATTCTTCTTCAGGAACATTTAGAGTTTACATCAGAGCTGCTTGTTGTTGCCCTCTCTGAATATGTACACCTCATCCAGAAATGGATCAGACCATCTGCTGTGTGTGTGTGTGTGTGTGTGTGTGTGTGTCTGTGTGTGTCTGTGTGTGTAACTGCTCTAGGGAAGATGAGGAGTGGTAGAGGATGTCTGAAGATGTTACTCAATTCACAGTCCTGGTTATGCATTTCTCAGTGTATATATTGAAACTTACCTGTAGTCTGTGAAGGTTATAAAATATCCCACAACAAACCTACATTTCTGGCATATTTAGAATTATTATTCAGAAAATGGCAGAGCCACACCAGTCACAGGGATGCCTCTGACAAGCTTTCTTTTATAAAAACACAATTACAAGTACCTGCTTTAGTAAACAGCAGATGCAGGCCGAGCCTTATCTTTTCTAGTAACCTCTTTCTCCCAAGAAAGTTCTTCCCCAGGGAGAAGCCCACAGACAGAACTTTATGACTCTAAGGTTGGAAGAAACCGTTTCTGGAGGCACAGCACCCTTTTCTTCCACAGCTAGCTCTCTGCCAAGTTGCCAGAGTAGCTTGGCCTGACGTGTGCACACCAGTTCTGAATTCTGTGCACTTCAGAGTTTTGACAAGTTCCGGATTTGATTTAAACACGCAGCTAAGTTTGTAGACAATATTGCAGCACCATTTAGTTAAGAAGTAACCAAGCAGGTTCCTAAAGCCACTGTGGGCAACAGCGTTGGAGTGGGGTCCTATGTGTAGGCTTGCCTGAACATGTTAAAACAGAGTGTAGCTGAATGTACTGTGTGTAGAAGAATGTGTTAGAGATAGAGTGGGACAGCACAGAAAGGCTACCAGTCCACACACGCTGAGAGCCGGCCTCTGGTGCACAATCCGAAATTCTAGCCAAACACATACAGCTGGAGCTTGGTAACTTGTAGGAAATGGCAGACAAAAAAAAAGTATATTTTTTTCGCATTTTGAAAAACTGTCCTAATTATTTGGTAATTGTAAGCATTATACAGATTCATAAAACAACTCATAGAAGAGAACGTAGAAGTTCCAACTGGTTGTCTTTAATTTTCTTTTGTTTGCTTTTTCATGACTTGTCCCTCAGTAGAGCAGACACACAGGGATTCCTAGATGACAGGTTTAGGATGATGTACACAAGGATTCGGAAGCGTTCTGGAGCTTTACTCTGACAGTGCCGAGGAACACATCCGTAATATTTGACTGGAAAAGCAATGCTCTTTAACCCCGAGGAACATTGTTCTGACTCCCAGTGTTCTAGCATGACTCAGACTTGAGGTTTTGGAATGTGAAAGTATAGTAGATGTTATCTTTATGTTGTGGGGCCAGGTGTATGGCTAGACTGTGTAAGCCTTTCACAGCGAGTTTTACGCACACGGTGGTACTCTATTCTAGTGTAGATTACTTGGGTTTATGGACAGAAATCTGTTACTGGAGAGCAGTTCTGATTCAATGTCCTTAGTATTTCATTCTGTCAAACTGCACAAATGAACAAGATGTGGTTACTGCCCTTGAGAACTTAGCCATCTAGCTTGTCCATTAAGAAAGCTTAATGGAGGCGTAAGAAAGGCAAGGCTAACAAAGTCTCACATGGGAGACTCTTTGAAGTGAGGGCTCTAGTGTTAGTCACTAGTGGGGACCGACAGAGAGACTTTCCTGTGCGCAGTAATATGGTTTCAGCCACTGCTACAAAATTATCGTTCTTTCCCTCACCCACAGTTATTGTTGGTACTACAATCCCTGTGCTCTTTAACAACGTTTCCTCCTGTGCCTGTTTCTGCTGAAAAGCGGTTCATGTTCGCCTCTGCAACAAGAACCCCTTAACCGAAGGGTCATCTGTGTGTGTGTGTGTGTGTGTGTGTGTGTGTGTGCGCCCCAGGAGCTTCATGACCAGTCATAACAAATAGTCATGAAACTAATGAATAGATGAGCATAGGTCTTCTGCAGTTCTTGACAGATGTAACCACATTTTTTGTCATCTGAGATTAATAAAAAATATTTTATGAGTGATCTAATTGACAATTATTTTATCAGCAAATGTATTCCTATTTATTATATTTTGCTTATTTACTGAGTTTGCTTTAAATTTGCCATTCCTTTATTGATTCTTACAGCAAACATCAGTCGAACTTTTATTGTATCATCTCCTATCTTATACCACAGGCATCCAATGATGTCACACACACACACACACACACACACACACACTGTTCTAAAGATTGAAAAGCAAATCCATTTTTGAATTAGATACATTAACCAAATACTGTCCCCCAAAATGTCTAATTCAAAAATGCTGGTTAGTACTACATCAGAAGGACACCTGTGACAACGCAGATCAAGGAAGTTACAACGTTAGGATTGGGCTAAGAAAATGCCATTTGGTTATGAGCTAAATGGTAAGTAGGAGTTTTATGCTCAAAGGCTGAAAGGGTGGCAGTGGGAAATGGGCAGAGGTTTCTAGGTGGAATGTTCACAGGCCATTGGAGAATGGAACAATGAAATCCAAAGAACTAAAATAGAAGATGAGAATGGCGGCGTGATGGTGGCGTCAGACACAGAACGGTAAAGAAAGGTGCTGGGAGACGGAGTGAAATGTGATCAACTGGTTAGAGTTAGACCACAGGGACTAAAAAATGCCTTAAGAATTTTGGTTTCCTGGGGCTGGAGAGATGGCTCAGAGGCTGTTCTTCCAGAGGTCCCGAGTTCAATTCCCGACAATCACATGGTGGCTCGTAACCATCTATAACAAGATCTGGTGCCCTCGTCTGGCTTGCAGTGTACTGCATAAATAATAAATGAAATCTTTAATAATAATAATAATTTTGGTTTTCTTTCTAAGAGCAATGGGTAGCTATGTGGGTAGAGTAGATGGGCATCATGTTAAATCTTTCATTTTCATTCTATTAAAAGCAATGGGCTGGAATCAAATATATCAATAGAAAATTTAGGGAAGCCCAAGAGGAAGATATGATGTTAATCCAATTATACTAGATACAGCTTTTAGTAATGTTAAAGCAAATGGAATAAAGAGAAAAGTCACATATTAGAGCATAATACTTGCCTAATCCTTTCAGGATTTTCTTTTCCAGCTTTTGCTCTTTATTGCTGACAGACTCTTTGGCTGTGGCTGGCTCTTCAGCAGCAGTGGGTTCTCTGTCTGTCTCTTCGGTGGTTTCCTCACAGTCTGCATCCTCATTGTCCGCTGTCTCCGTGTTTGGGAGCTGCTCCCTAGTTTCAGGGGCTCCCGCTTTCCCTGGGGGACTAGCTGCAGACCCGTACATGCTAATGATGTCTTCCAGTTGCCGGCTCAGCTCTTCAGAGACATCCTGGGCTCCCTTCTCAGGATGCACACTTGTCTCTGGCTCTGGTGCTTGGACTGAGGTAGAGGACTGCTGGCCGTCTTGCTTTCCCGGGCCATTTTGATTGAGGGGCACACTGTCGGCTAGGGGGTTTGACTGCTCTGCCGAGAGCTGTTCAGGGCAATTGGTGTCCATAGGGAGTGTCTGGGGGGAAGCACAGTTACTTTTATGTAAAGGATTCGCTTACATATTAATGATAAGGCTAGTTCTCAAATAGGTACCAGCATATACCACTGACACTAAAATTCACATCATATTACTATTCTATTTTGAGTGTAATCTTCACATTTTGGTAGTATCCTTTTTTTTCTGAAGTTGAGTTAATTCATAGCATTGTTTTTAATGAATATATTTGTAAATTTGTTTTAAGATTTTTCATATGGAGACTTCATTGTCCTTAGAAGTACATGCACAAAGACGTTATATTATATTATATTATATTTAATATAAGAACAACTGTGCTAACTAAAAAGTATTCATAATAGTTACATCTCTAAACTATTTTTAAATCTTTAAGTAAAATTTTAATTTGTGTAATTTAATATAAACACATTATCAGGTAAAATCCTTTTTCTAGTATTTTCTCCCCTATAATGAACAACATGCAATTATCATTCAGCAAAAACGCTTTTTTGAGCTTCATTTTTTAAATTAAAACAGGTAATGAGGGAACATATAAATAATCCAATAAAGGATGAGCGATGCTCTTCGTTACTGTGTTTCCGTGTGTGTGTACGAGTGTAGCGTGTTCATACACGTGTGGGTGCACGAGCGGAGGCCAGAGGAGGACGTCTGCTCTATCACAGCCACTTTACTCCTCTGGGACAGAGTCTGTCACTGAGCCTGCCCTAGCCTGGCAGCCAGGAAGCCCCAGTTGTCCTCCTGTCTCTTTCCCTGGGAGTATTGCGATTACAGGCTCATTCAGCTAGCCCTGAGGTTTTACATGGTTGTTAGGATCGGAACTCAAAGCCTTGTGCTTGTACACAAAGCACGCTTACCCACCGAGCCATCTCTCTAACCTGCTCATAATGCTAATTCTTTAAATGTTTATACTATTCTTCTACTCTAAGAACTGACTTTATCTCAGAAGAAAAGAGATTACAATTCTCTAAGTCATAAAGTTCTAGGAAAGTGTAAGAATTTTAAGAAGTAGCAACATATAATAAATAGGGATATCAACTAGAGAAATAATTTAAATACAATATGGACTCAAACGAGGCATGGCGGGACATATTCTTCATAGAGGCAGGAGGGTCAGAAGTTCAAGTTTGTCCTCAGCGACCCAGTGAGTCCCAGGTCTGTCTCCCTATTCAGTCCTGTTCCCCAGCGGCAACGGCAACAACACAGGGGAACAGTACAACAAACTGCATTAAAGACTTTGCTCTTCCCTTGAGGGGCAGATAGATTTTGCTTAGGTTTTTAAGTTCTGGTACATTTTGTTTGCAAACAGAACTTAATAATTACGCTGCTAATTAGCAGCATAAAAATCTGGCTAAATGCTGAAGCTTCACAGGTTCTGCTGTTGTGTTGGCATGAAAGCGAAAACAAAAACATACTGTTCTCCAAACTGCACAGCTTCCTTGTCCCATTTTTAGGGCACGTGTCGGACACGTGAATGTACTGGATGTTGAACACTTGAATGCCAGCACGAGAGTGGGAAAATCTGGCCACCTGTGGTGCTCACCCAGCCTTCGCTGACTTAGAAGGAAGTTCACCAAGTTGAGTTCATCAACTTGGTGATCACATAATGTGGCAATGTCTGCATCGCTGCAGTCCTAGCCTGACCCCCACTTCCTATGTTCTCATCTAAATATAACTCTTCCTCTCCCAAGCAGAGAAGGACATGTGTCACCTGCTGTCCAGCCAGAAGTTATTTTAAGTTCTTCTAAAATGAGTTCTGACATTTAGCTTTCCATCCCTGAAGTCAAGAGAATAGAAAATAGTGAGCATTTGCTGGTGTGAATCCATATGTGAACTTTTAAGTGTAGATTATCATTGGGCGAAATCTAGAGTCAATCAAATGTCAAAGCAGTTATTTCAAACAGTCCACAGGCATTTCACTGTGGTTAGACTACATGAAAGTGCTCCTGTGATCTATGCAGCCATCGGACGCTACAGTTGTTGCTTTTTTATACTTAGGTCTATGGATATTCATTAAATTTCTGTTTCACATTAATTGACGTGTGTGTGTGGCACTGGGGATCAACCCCAGGGCTTATAATGTTCCACTATTGTACTATATCCCCAAACCCTAACTTTCTTTAAAACAGAGAAATCTGTTTTTGTTCACAGGACAATTTACTTCCAAAAAAAAAAAAGCCTCAGAACAAATTAGCAAGAAGGAAAAACAAACAAATATAAACAAAGCCAAAGAACTTTAAATTATCCCTTTTATAGAAATTTGTTTTCTAGCAAGGAAACTAAAATCTGTCTTCTACAAACTTTGCTGGCTCTGTGCCCTCCAGTGAGGAGGAATGCTTCCCTGCTCCCCTCCCTGCAGCTGCTCAGGCACACGGCCCTTCCTGACAGACAAGTCTTTAGAAGTTGAACAATAGGAAGAAAGCCCTTCTACCATTCACTGGTATCTGCAAATTTTGAACACTACAGACTACAGGCTGCACCCCGCTGGGCTTGGGGGCAGGTTTGTCACACTTACCAGAAGAAAAGGAGGTTAGCAGGAAGAGAAAAGAGAGGAAAGAGGTGGCAGAGTCAGAGCAGCAGCAGCAGGAACAGGCGGCAGGGCTGTGTTCTTACAGAGAGCAAGAAACTGCACACACACACACACACACACACACACACACACACACACACACACACACGCGCCCACAAAAGGAGGAGGTGGGGCAGGGAACACCACAAGAGAGAAATCTGCCCATGCTTCAGTAGGTGTCGCCAGGGGAGTATCCTTTGAAAGAAAAGCAGCTGGTAGGTTGTGAGGCTTTCCATGTTTACTCCTTTTCAAAATTCAAACCCAGGTGAACAGCCTCCTGGTGCAGTTTTCCACCACTGTTGTATTTTGGACACATCAGGTTTTTGCTTTTGTTTTTGTATTTGTTTTAATTTATTGGTTGTGACTGTGTCCCTGTGTCTTGGACTGGGACTAGCATCAGGTTTCTTTTAAGAATCACTTTTCATTTGTGGGTGAAATGCTCACACGCTCACCTGTTAATGTCCTTTTGTGCTTGATTTCGGAACACTTCCTCCCATACCAACCTCTGCAGATGTTTCAAGACCCTCATATGAAATGGTGCAGTGTTTACGTATTTTATAGCTATAGTCTGGTATGTGTTTTAATGCATTTCTGGATTATTATCATACCCAGTAGAATATACATGGCACACAAATGGCTGTTATAGCATATTGTTTAGGAGTAAAGACAAGGGGGAAAATTCAAGCTGTACATATTCAATACAGGTAGTTTTTCTCCTTCTTCTTCTTCTTCCTCCTCCTCCTCCTCCTCCTCCTCCTCCTCCTCCTCCTCCTCCTCCTCTTCTTCTTCTTCTTCTTCTTCTTCTTCTTCTTCTTCTTCTCCTCTCCCTGGGGGGTGTTAGGGATCAAACCCAAAGCCTTGTGTAAGTACACTGCCATAATTTACACTTTCAGCCTTCTGCACATTTAAAAGTCTTTGATCTGCAATAGATTGAATGACTCTGTGGATCTGGAATGGGGAAAGGTAGAACACTAACTTTATTGCTGCCAGCTGTCTATTTTGGACTTTATCTTTTGTGTTTAATAATAAAGGTGTTTGTTATTTGCACTTCCTTCTTGTTCATTTTCCCAATAAAATTGAATCTCAGTTCTTCATTTATATTTTATGTTTCCAGTGCTGAGAGGAGGAAGCAGACACAGGCTTCTGACTCTAAGCAAGAAGCTATCTGCAATTGACACTGCTTGCAAAGAAAAAATGAGTTTTCTCCAATTGAGTCCCATTGAGCATGCAAACCACAGGTAAGGGTAGATCCCATGCTCACTAGTAGATGACCACACAAAATTAACTCAATGGTTTTTTTGTAGACTTTTTTCTCTTATTGCTTTGTTTGGTCTTTGTTGCTGTTGTTGTTTGTTTGCTTTATCTTACTGTCCTTTTGCTTGTATATTATTACATATTATATTCCAATTTTGTGTTTTTATGAATTTGTATGCATGTCTGTGTGTTTGATGGTTTGTTTGGGATTCTTTTAATTGCCTGCTTCTTTTCTTTTTTTTTTATGTTGCAAACTCTTATTTATTTTCTTAATTTTTATTTTTTTAATATTAATCACAGGTTATTTACTTTGTATCCCAGCCTTAGCCCCTTCCCTCATTCCCTCCCAAACCCATCCTCCCTCTCTCATCTCCACCCTGTCCCTTTCCAAGTCCACTGCTAGGGGAGGTCATTCTCCCCTTCCATCTTGACCCTAGCTTATCTTCAGGACTGGCTGCAATGTCCTCTTCTGTGGCCTAGCAAGGCTGTTCCTCCCTTGGGGGGAGGGAGGGAAAGTAAAGGAGCCAGTCATTGAGTTCATGTTAGAAATATTTCCTGTTCCCCTTACTAGGGTACCCACTTGGATACTGAGCTACCATGGGCTATATCTGAGCAGGGGTTCTAGGTTATATCCATACATGGTCCTTGGTTGGAGAAACAGTCTCATAGAGGACCCCCGTGCTCTGATATATTTTGTCCTGTGGAGCTCCTATCCCCTCCCAGTCATACTAACTCCCTATCATGTGATTCTCTACATTCTACCGAAGGTTTGGTTATGAGTCTCAGCATATGCTTTGATAAGCTGCTAGGTAGAGTCTTTCAGAGGTCCTCTGCGGTAGGCTCCTGTCCTGTTTCTTGTCTTCTCCTACTTCCTATTTTCATCCCATTTGTCTTTCTAAGTGAGGATTGATCATCTTACCCCAGGTCCTCTTTTCTTGTTTATCTTCTTTAGGTGTACAGATTTTAGTATGTTTATCATATCTTATAGGTCTATATAAGTGAGTATATACTGTGTTTGTCTTTCTCCTTCTGGGATATTTCACTCAGGATGATCTTTTCTAGATCCCACCATTTGCCTGCAAATTTCATGATTTCCTCCTTTTTGATTGCTGAGTAGTATTCCATTGTGTAAAAATACCACAATTTCTGTATCCATTCCTCCGTTGATGGACATCTGGGTTGTTTCCAGGTTCTGGCTATTACAAATAAAGCTTCTATAAACCTGGTTGAGCAAGTATCCCTTTTGTGTATTTGAGCAAAGTTTGGGTATATACCTAGCAGTGGTATAGCTGGGTCTTGAGGAAGCACTATTCCTAATTGTCTTAGAAAGCGCCAGATAGATTTCTAGAGTGGTTGTACCAGTTTACATTCCCACCAGCAGTGGAGGAGGGTTCCCCTTTCTCCACAACCTCTCCAGCATGTGTTGTCCCTTGAGTTTTTCATCTTGGCCATTCTGATGGGTGTGAGGTGAAATCTCAGGGTCGTTTTGATTTGCATTTCCCTGATGGCTAATGAGGTTGAGCATTTTTTAAAGTGTTTCTCTGCCATTCGATATTCCTCTGTCGAGAATTCTCTGTTTAGCTCTGTTCCCCATTTTTTAAGTGGATTACTTGGTTTGCTGCTTTTCAGCTTCTTTAGTTCTTTATATATACTGGATTATTAGCCCTCTGTCAGATAAAGGGTTGGTGAAGATTCTTTCCCAATCTGTAGGCAGTCGTTTTGTTTTGATGACGGTGTCCTTTGCTTTACAGAAGCTTTTCAGTTTCATGAGGTCCCATTTATTGATTGTTGCTCTTAGAGCCTGTGCTGTTGGTGTTCTGTTCAGGAAGTTGTCTCCTGTGCCAATGAGTTCTAGGCTGTTCCCCACTTTTTCTTCTAACAGATTTAGAGTATCTGGTTTTATGTTGAGGTCTTTGATCCACTTGGACTTTAGTTTTGTGCAGGGTGATAAATATGGATCTATTTTCATTTTTCTGCATGTAGACAACTAGTTGGACCAGCACCATTTGTTGAAGATGCTGTCTTTTTTCCATTGAATGGTTTTGGCTTCTTTGTCGAAAATCAAGTATTCATAGGTGTTTGGATTTATTTCTGGGTCTTCTATTTAGTTCCATTGATCTAATTTTCTGCTTCTATGCCAATACCATGCAGTTTTTATCACTATTGCTCTGTAGTACAGCTTGAGATCAGAGATGGAGATACCTCCAGATGATCTGTCGTTGTACAGGATCGTTTTGGAAATTCTGGATGTTTTGTTTCTCCATATGAAGTTGAGAATTTTTCTTTCAAGGTCTGCAAAGAATTGAGTTGGTATTTTGATGGGAATTGCATTGAATTTGTAGATTGCTTTTGGCAGTATGGCCATTTTCACTATGTTAATCTTACCAATCCATGAGCCCGAGAAATCTTTCCATCTTCTGATATATTCTTCAATTTCTTTCTTCAGAGACTTGAAGTTTTTTTCAAACAGGTTTTTCACTTGCTTGGTTAGTGTCACCCCAAGGTACTTTATGTTATTAGTGGCTATTGTGAAGGGTGTTGTTTCCCTGATTTCTTTCTTGGCCCTTTTGTCTTGGGTATACAGGAGAGCTTCTGTTTTTTTGTTTTTTTAAATTAATTTTGTATCCAGCCACTTTGCTGAAGGTGTTTATCAGCTGAAGGAGTTCTATGGTTGAATTTTGGGGGTCGCTCATGTCATCTGAGAATAGTGAAACTTTGACCTCTTCCTTTCCGATTTGCATCCCCTTGATCTCTTTTACTTGTCTTATTGCTCTAGCTAGGACTTCCAGTACTATTTGAATAGATATGGAAAGAGTGGGCAGCCTTGCCTTGTCCCTGATTTCAGTGGTATTCATTTAAGTTTTTCTCCATTGAGTTTGATGTTGGCTATAGGCTTGCTGTATATTGCCTTTACTATATTTAGGTATGTGTCTTGTATCCCTGATTTCTCCAAGACTTTAAACATGAATGTATGTTGGACTTTGTCAAATGCTTTTTGGCATCTAAGGAGATGATCATGTGGTTTTTCTCCTTCAGTTTGTTTATATGGTGGATTACATTGATGGATTTCTGTATATTGGCCTGCTTCTTTTCTAAAGAGAGAGAAAAAGTGTGGATCATACTGTAATTCCAGCACTCAGGATGCAGAAGCAGACAGATCAGTTCTCTGAATTTAAGGCCAGCCTGGTCTACAGAGTGAGTTCCAAGAGAATCAGGGCTATACAGAGTGATCCTGACTCAAAAAAACAAATCCAAAAGAGAGAGGGGAGGAGTGAGGGAATGGAGTTGGGTGGGTGGGATCTGGGCGGAGTTGGGGGAAGGGAAACTATGGTCAAAATACAGTGTATGAAAATTATTTTCAATAAAAAGAAAGAAATGAAAAAAAGAAATAAATGTCACTTTCTACTTACTGGGGTAGAGCGTTGTGCACCACCACGCCTGACTGTTTTCATTGATAACTTCGGAACTTCTCTGTCTTCCCAAACTTCGTGAGAGCCCTGTGAATTACACCTCCATATAATGTCCCCTGAGATCAAAAGTGTTAGATAATTTACACATCCTGGTATTTCTGCGGCAAGTCCATCTCCACACCCGGCTAGCCTCTGTGCTTTGATCTTTGCCTGCTGGTCAGGTAGCTCTCGGTCCTGCTCACAGCTGGGCTGGCTTTCCCCTGCTGCCATTCTAGGAATTTTCTTTGCGTCTCTCGTTATGGGTCTCCCCTTCTT